GGAGGAGGAGGAAGCGACACACTAACTGTCAATGTGTGCGAGAGGTGTAGACGATGACCGGCGAGACTGACAACGCGAATGTGTTCAGCCGGTTGAAGGCGAGGGGTGGAGCCGGTTGGAGGTCACTGGAGGGAGAGCGTAGAAGGTTTGGGTGGGTGTGGGAGGGTGTCACTTTGATTCAATTAGAGGAAGCGAATTCTTGAAGGGAAGGGTGCTGCTAGCGAAAGATCCTTGCTCGAGGACAATTGGCAAATTTTTTTGAAGGAAGTTTCAAATTTCTTTTATTATTTTTGCCTTTTTGTTTTCTTCGGTAAAATTCATGGCTTTGCTTTTCATTCAACTGATGTGAAGACGTAAAACTTTTGGTGTACGTTAGGAGGGGAAAAGGTTTGCCCAAAGGCTTTTTTAGTTTGTGTCTTTTCGTGCCCAAGGGAAATTGCTTCCTCCTGAGCAGAGTCGAGTGGGTTATGCGACCTCTGGGAGATGCAAATCCCCCATCATCTCCCGTTTTTGACTTAAGTGGAGGGAACGAAACTCTAAAATCTCCTCCTTTTAACGTTTCTCCTCAAGTACTCATTCACCTTTTTGTTCGACAAGAAGTGCATGAAACGCTGTAAGGAGCTTCACTAAAGGGCATTTTGTTTAACTAAAGTGCAACCCATTCCTCACAAATAGTTCCATTTTATCAGGAATTTTTGAGAGTTGAAAATTTGCATTTGCTCTTCTAATGCAGATCTCCTCTAACACTCTGAAAGTGGAAAATAATGCAGCCACCTCCTTCCTCTCACCCTTTAAATGCAACGGAAAAAGCGGTGCGTTTGAGGAAAGAAGAGCTCTCCGAAATCAGCGCCTCTTTTAACTTCTCTGCTTTTTTACGACACCGATTAAAATCCTTTGCCTTTCCACAAAAAAAAGCGTTTCATGGATGATAAATTTGTTTAAAACTAAATAAAGGTCCCTTCTGGGGGAGGAGAGGAGGGGAGTAAATTTGGCGCGTAACTTTAGAAGCTGTCTCCGAAAATTTGGTGGTTGCAAGCCGACATCGACGATCTTTCGCTTTGCCTTTGATGCCGAGGCAAAGGATTGCGTTTTTGCAGTGGCTGTGGAGGGTTCAGGCGGTTCAAAGGGGAACAAAAGGGCCCATGGAGGCGAGCATTAACCTTCGTGCCTACAATACTCAGTTCGTTTAAAATGCCTCTTTTTCCCACCAAAAGCAAAGTAACACAGCATAACGGCAAAACGTGGAACCTGCACCTTTTTTTAAAGGAAACACTTTATTTGCAAAATACTTCGAGCAAACTCTACACTTTTCTTAACCGCAAAAAGTTCGTCGAAGGATCTCCCCAGGGGAGGTTCTCTCGTTTTCCTCCATTTTCGCTTACCTACGCCAAAATATTAGCAAATCTGACTTTCATATTCAGTGTTTTTGGAGCGGCTCCCAACTGTCAAGTTTAAAGTTATGGGAGCATTTAAAACGACGAATTGGATCGTTCGCCTTGACCACTTCTTTTGCCTCATTGCCTCAACAATCCCTGCACGATTATCCTGCCCGGGGGCGGAGAGGAGGAGGGAACACCGCTTGCTTGCATAAAAGTCTCGATGGAGGTAGCTGTGCTCTTCTGTAGCACACAACTCCACATGTAGCGGTCCTTCCTTTCCTCATTCAATTTTTTTTCCTGTGTCTGAGTAACAAATCGCATCCCACAGGGCAAGAGCAGTCAATCTGGTGGGCACGACCGAATTTTACTGCTCCCCCCGCCCTTGTCGATCCAAAATGAAATACAATCATGAGAAAAATATTAGCCTTGCCTTTAGCCCCTCCGTCAAGTGGCAAAGCATTTATTTGCAATTGCTTTTCCATTTACTTTTATTATCCAACCTAAGCTCCTCCCAACTCGAGAAAGGTAGTTCAGGTATAACTTACTTTTAAAGCTCTTCTTCCACGAGATTATCTGAACAATAAAAAGTAAAATCTAGACTTAAAAATGCAGCTTAACTCTAAATAGGTTTATGTGTGTGATGAAAGTTACTACTTTAAAGAAATTCAGCGGCCCCTAAATGCTATCTGTGAGGCAAATAGACATCCAGCTTAGAGTGGAAAGAAATAATTGCACCATTAATTGCATGCATTGACAAAGAGGCGTTGAAAGTCCTCACATCTATTGTTTGCTGGATTTATGGTTTGTTTTATTTGTGCTTCCCTTGAGTCGGGACTGCTCAAGGCGAAAGAAGGGATCCGTTCTAGCCGTCTTGCTTGGGGCAGGAATGAGGGATGATCTAATCACCTCGGCTGCAAGTTTCAACTCTATCAATATGGAAGTCAAAGACAAGCCTCTCGTCATATTTTGCAGTTTCCTCTTCACGTAATCCCTCCTCGTAATCCCATTGCGGAAGGATTAACCAGTACTTTGGTGCTGTTGTTATCCCGTGAATAGTAAGCAGTAAGACATTTCTCAGACCAAATTATATTTAAAATGTATAAATGCTGAAGGGTTAAGCTGCTGTCATCCCCATCCTTGGGGAAGCATTTCCAGCAAAAAGTAGCAAAAAATTAGGCAAGTCTTCATGGGTGGATCAATTCTCACCATGCAAATTAGGATTTGGCCTTGCCTGCCGACAAAAATTAATGAAACACTTATGAATGCACACCGAAGGGAAGCGACAGAAAGCTCAACAGTGTGGCGGCTTGAAGTGGTGCCTTTGCAAAGATGTCACCTGAACGTGAGAACCGACATGCTTCCTTTTGCACTGCCACCTTCCAGAATTCTAACCTCAACTGTCAGCCCGACGTGTGAACGAGCCTCAGAGGCGAGGAGAGGTGGGGAAAATAACCAGGAGGAGGAGGAGGAAGAAGAAGAAAAGGTGGTGAAGCTTTGTGATGCAGCCTAGAAACGATGGAATTTCGCACGTCTTTATGTATGCATGCAGGGGATTGCGGTGGACTAAACTGAACACCTCGATCCGATTCAGTCTATGCAAACAACTTCTTCATTGTTTCAAAGTGGCAAAAAATTCTTCTTTTCACTTAAATCTTTCCTCGTCTCGCCATCACTTGACTTTTATTGGGAAGAGATAAGCAAAAGCACTTCTCTAAAACAGAAACTGCAAAGGAAAGCTGAAGCCAAAAAAAGTCTCAAAACAGAAGGCGATTTTATTTATCACCACAAAACTAATTTTTTCCTCTTAAGGCTTCTGTGTGAAATTTTAAAGTTAGGCTAAAAAAAATTTATTGCCTCATTCACTTCACTCCTCTCATCGCTGTTCTGCCATAATCTGAGCTGCCCTCCCTCCGCTCACACGCACCGACGCGTCGGTCGGCTCCAACCCTGTGGCAAGCGCGATGCGACATTATCCAAAACCGAACCAAATCAAATAACGCGACCAAAGTTGAGCGGCCACAGTGGACAAAGAAAAACAAAACGTTGTTACATTGCGTCAACAAAAATGCGAGGGACCAAAACAAGCCGGATGATAAAACCCAACTCGGAATGGAGCGAAGTGAACGCGTTTCCACGTCTGTTGCAAATCACACGGACACAAAACATTTGGCTAAAGAGAATCGCTCTTTAGCAAAAACTCCTTTTCCCACCTTTAACTATCTAACTGTCCACTTTGATGTTGCAGAGGTCTTATTGGGGGTCTTTGTTTTGTGCTATCATCAACTAGGGCATGTGAACTGCTTAAAGGAAGGATGAGGAGGTGCTAAAGATTTGACGTGGCAGTGGACCGAGAGAGGCAGTTGCAAGTGCGCGAGAAGATCCCTTCACTGAGACACTCTAACCTGCCACATGCTGTGGAGGCATCAACGACGACATCCGGCAAGGATTTACCAATTCACCGAGAAGTGAAAGTTTGTTTTCCCACCGATTTGTGAGTCGTTTGCTTGGTGGACAGATGGGCCAAACGCCTTTCATAGCGGAAATGGCACGAAGTTCACATGTCTGATTATTAGGAAAGTGAATTCTTCAAAACAGCTTTTCACCTAACAAGGGAAAGGCATTAAAGGGGTAGCAGGAAACCTGTCCATCTGGCTACCAACATCAAACAATTTTGGGCATGCACAGAATTTCACCTTTAAAAAGGTTTAAATCCTCCAATTTGACAAAGTTACGGAGGAAAAAGCAGCTCACGAAGGTCGGTAAACGGAAGCTGTTGCGGTAGCGATGTAGGTGAGCGATTTTTTGTTTGATCGCGAAATAAGGGAACATCCAATCCTGCCAAATGAATAGACTTTGAAGAATTAACTTTTGTCGCCTCCCCCCCACTGGCATTTTACAGTTCTTGCCTCCTCAGACCCCCCATTTTTCCCTCCATCTCTTTCCCTTCCTATTTTTTTTTACGCTCTCATTCCAGCCCGTTCTCCCTGGTCCTCTGAAAGCGACCTTAAATTGGGATTAGAACAGAACTACAATGCAGTAGATTTCCAGTATCCACTATCCATTGAATGCTATTCTCTTGTGACTGGTCACTTGCTTCCGCTAAAAACTTTTCTCGTTCCTGTACCACTGCTACTGCAAACCTCATCACGCCTGCAGCGGGATGAGGCATAACGTTTCACCCTCTCCAGTTGCCTTGTGCCTTCTTGGTGTGGCCGTGCGCCCTCCTCCTCCGCCTCTAGCCTGACCCTTAATGGTGTGTGCTAGAAGGTGATGGTGGCCAGCAACCAGTTGCCAAGCTGATGTGATCCATGATTCATGCCAAAGGTGATGGCAGCACACTACTTTTGAATTGGGTCCCACAATTTCGAGTAGTGGGACAATCTGATGCCTTGCATTATGCCTCCAAGGAAGCAC